GCATTGCAGAAAACCGAAAAGGGCACTTACTCGAGCATCTGGATAGTTGTCATGGAAGTAGGAAGGGCACCAATTTAAAATGATGTAGAAGCTATTATTGTGCACGAAATTCGCCAGCAACATCACCCTGGATAAGCGGGAGGGGCGAGGAGAGAAACAACAGCAAATATCACCGATTCACGGGTTTTATTCCCAGCGCAAATTGCATTGCAAATTTCGAATAATAAAAACCACTGATACATAATGCAGTGATCACGTACTAAAGCAAGTGCTTGACCATCATGAATTGCGCAAAGGTATATTTTGCGTATTGCATTGGATGAGCTTCTTCGATAGGTGATGCTCACAGAGGCGGACAATAGTCATAATAGGATCCCACGGGGTCGTGGTGATGATTAGGCCATAATTTGGAATGAGGATATCACAAAAATCCTGGAGAGAGACTTGATCACATAGGTCGCATTAGGTTTCCCATCAGATTGAATCGAATCGGAAATATGACTGGCTATTGTAAATAACATCCACTCAATTTTTCTCAAGACCGTTTTTTTTTCTTTATATTACTTAACCTCTTACTCTATTGAATATATTTTTTACGCATTTTAACACAGTTCCGAATTCAGATTGTGTGCCAAACAAATCATGGTGCAATAATCTATATGAAAAAGAAAAAAGCGTTCCATGATTTGCATGTGGTCTGAATACTGCCATGCCGCCCAGGTCAAGCTAGGTGAATTTTCATGAAGAATCTACAACAGGAGCCTTTGGCTAGCCAAAGCCTGACCCGCAAGGCAGCGCGGGTGGTGTGAAAACCGGTGTCCAATTCATCGGATTATACGCCCTTTAGACGGAGTCAAACGTCCAAGGTGCCCAATACGCCCAATCGAACCGGTGACCACTGCTCCAACCGGGAAGATGTGTGGTTCATGCGCCTCCTCTTGGCTAGTTTGGAATCAGGGTTTTCGATCAAATCCCTTAGGTAAACTACCAGTGGTCCACCAACCCGGTTATAGCCCCGTATGTCGACTTTTCGACCTCTTGCTTCGGTGGGAAAACACATTCGCCACGAGAAGGTAATGAGTAGGACTTCCTGAGCAGAATTGGCTTTTCCGGATGCCTGGTCGTATGGGAGCATTTCACGAGGTGCAAGAGAAGGGTGATCATACTCAATCCTAACCATCTAACCCAATCATACTGAGGATATTGAATATGCGGTTGTACGCGTTTGTTTATTATCGAATCTATTCCCAACACCCATTTGAACAATGAACGTTTAGATGAAGCGAAATCGTCCAGGACATGAATCATGCAAGGTGGCTATACGGGGAAACCGAAAGTGGTGTGTGTGTGTGTGTGTGTGTGTGTGTGTGTGTGTGTGTGTGTGTGTGTGTGTGTGTGTG